TTGCACTCCATATCCGTCTGGCGCAGATCCTCCATCTACATCCAAACCATCCACCCCAGTTTTTCTCGCACTCAAGGGCAAATCCTTTCTGAGCGGTTCGGCCGCAAATGCCGGATGGAAAGAATTCTTACCGACACATTCATTCGGGGCACACACCCCAGAAAACGCGCCGGAAATTCGCAGAAACGCGCCGGGATCAGAAGGACGTACCCCCAAATCCCTCACGTACGATGATATGATCTGTTTTGTGCGCCATATAACTGATATTGACCAGTCGAGCTAGAACATTGGGCAATTGCTCGCTATGGGAGCAACACTATGACTGCCAGGTGAGGAACAGGGCACCTTCGCGCGATGATAATCATCGAGGGCTCGTTTCGAGCGGTGTTTTGCTCAAGTTGCACTCATTCTCGCGAATAAATTACATTTCCCAAGTTGCGGGCCCCTTCCATTTCGTCGTCGGACCCGTAGATTTGGAGGCGTCGATAGTGCCTGAAGCTTCATGCATCCCTTCGGATCCCACAAGCTCGGCATGATCCTTCCAGTCTTGGCGGTGAGGTGGAAATCTAAATCTGTCCTAACATTAGGGAGCGGAGAGTCTACTCTCGAGTGTCTCTCACTTACCCTTTTTCAACTGGCAGAACCATTATGACCACAAAAAAACTGGCCACGGTTAGGACCACTCTAGGTCTTTCTTCGTAGCCTTTACACTTCGACAAATTTACATCGGCGAGCCAGGCCTTGCAATCAATCAACAATCAAGACGACGGCCGAACGAATTCGAGGCCTCGCTCGCCTTGATCGCACCTGTCCAGTGTTCAGGCTCATCTTCCCGACTGAGTTTCAGTGATGATAAATTTTATGCGGTTCCAACTTGAGCCCGCAGCAGTGTTCTCATTCGTTCTAGCGTCATCGACTAACCGGAACTATAGTGACCCTTGCTCATAATTGCGTTCAAGTGCGCCCAAGCCTCCGAACGGAATAAAATTGCGTACCCACGACGTCGTCGCGTTGTGCAACGTGAATGAAGGGAGGCAGATGCCTCCGCCTCCAAGCCGGAGGAGATAACTGGTATCTTATTCCTGCTCGTGTGCCTCATGTAGAACCGAATTTAGCCTCAACGAAACAGACCAACCGGCAGCCCCGCTAGAGGAAAGTAGGCAATTTTCTGGAGTCGTCGTGGTCTGAGAGAGGATGGGTGAGATGGTCCGCTAAATATAACCCTACCGCATCTTCTGACGAAGAAACACTGATCCTCAGAGCGATACATCTTCGAATCTTCACATTCTTCACGTCGTTTACGTGAAACAACAGACTTGGACTTAATTTGTCTCGTTTTTATTCCAGAAGTGACCGCGATGGGTGTGCGCGACCATGGAGTCGGACAGCGAGTGGGCTGTGTTCAGGTTGTTCAATCTCACCGGCCATAGAATCATGACTCGGAGCTCACATTTACATTCCATCGCAGATTGGGACGGAGTTCAATCTAGCCTTACAGGTGACTACAGTGCACCTCAGGGAAAATGCACCCTCAATTTACCAGTGTAACAGATCGCGCGACAGACCAGGTGGTCCACGAATGAATGGTAAGCCGTGCGCGAAGAAGCCAGATATGGGAACCTTCCCAAAGACACTCGTACGCCACCTCCTGTGACTTACAGGGTTTCCTGAAAATAATGGCAATCATCAATTTTTTTTTACCCAATTCCCAAATAGGAAATCGCCCTCCGTCCTTCCTCCCTTCCTTCCCATGGCCTTTTTTTCGTTCCTGTATCCCTAGACCGCTGGAATGCAGCTGTTTGGAGGGTTCCTGAAGCCGCCTGCGACTGAAATGTGTCCCAATCCGTGTTGAAGAGCTCTAAAACCGATGTCACCTCGCGCTCACATATGGCGAGGATTCTCTTCTTCGCTCAACTTCGCGGCGCTTCTTCTACACACGACGCCTCCAACGTATGGCTGGTGCCACCGGAGCCGGGAAGACTCGCAAGGAGGAGGAAGGCACGTCGAGGGGTCCGTGATCCAAGGTGCGTTTTCAAATCCTCCCGCACTGCGCCCCAACTCAAACGGCGTGTGCTGTATGTCTACAGGCACCATAGCCTCGTGCTGGAGGCTATGTGGCTGCCTCTGTGGTTCCTTCCACCTCGTTTGGGATCGGCTGAGTGCGCTCGCGGCTCGCCTGTCCTAGTCTACCCCAGCTCGCCCGCATTGTCGTCTGTCAGGACTCAGTCCCATCTTCGTTGTCGATCTTCGTCGAGCACAAGAAGACCTTCGTCGAGCACAAGATGATGTGTCGTGCACGCTCGGCGCGAACGTCGCGCCCTAGGTCGTTTTGTCCATCGCGCAGCACCGGAGGGGCTTGCCCGGCGTCGCACTCGTGCTCGTTCGACATCCCGCGCCGCGGGAGGGGCGGTGTGAGCAGGACGCTCACGCGTTTACGCACGAAGCCGCCCGCTACGACCCGCAGTCGGAGGACGGGTGGGTCGACATTGCCCTGTGTCGCCGCACCACGACCACAGGCACGCTGGCGTTCTCCTTTGCGCTCAAGGGGCCCGCACCGTCACCCACAAATCCGCCGACGTCCTCGCGCTCTGCAGCCGACTCAGCAAGACTGCCATTTACGTCGAGACCACCCACGGTTTGCCGCACTCGCAGCCGTCCTGTGCACCGACGCAGCCCGCGCCCAACGGGTATCCCGGTGCCATAGCGCTACTGGGAGACACCACTGCGGACTGTCAATGGGGAGCGGCCCTTTGGCCGAGTTGCGCGAGGGCCGGGACGGTGTCTTGGTCCGACAATCTGGATTCGTGTTCGTTCTTTGGTTGTGCTGTCAATTCTCCCCAGCGCGTCTCTGTTCCTTCCCCCATCCTTCCGTCCCTTCAGTTCTCGCGCTTGAGGAGCATCCCGATGTTGTGCGCTGTTCTGGTTTGCGCGCTCTGTTCGTCACGTACACTTTGTCTACTTAACCATTACTTTAATTCTGATGCATGTGAAATACGCAAACTAGTCCATGGTAACGTTTCAGACGACCCTCGTACACCATAGGATGTCGGGAACTGTGCTGCGAGCGCAGACAAGGCGAAACGAGACCGGTTTCCTTTTTGGGATCCGGCCAAAAAAAAAAAAAGTGATTGCCATTATTTTCAGGATCTCCTGTAAGTCGATGTTCCGCCCGTGGATGTGTTCTATCTCATCCAATGTCGCCTGGAATGTCCCACTCCGGACTTGGCCTCACGGGAAGCACCCGACAGACCCCAAAAAGGACGGCGGGAGGATTGCCGGGAGATGACCGAGATGGCCGAGAGAATTCAACCTTAAGCTAAAAACCCCAGTTTGGTCACTATTCCGAGGTTATTCCGGGAGACACGTCATTCCTGGCGAGCATTGGGCTCAGATATAGCCCTTGAGCGCTTGGTTCGGTGTCCTGGTGCTCAGGCGAACAACCAGGGCGAATGAACACACCGTGGATTCGAGCCACACTCGCGAGTGAGTGCAGATCATGTAACCGCAGTGGATTGGTGGTATATGTAACCACTCCACGTTCTGCATTATCATCGCTTCAAGTGTCAAAGAAGGAATTTAGCCACTGCACAAAAATACACAATGCCGTGATACCTCCGTGGTCACTTTTTTGTGTTTCTCGTACCAATTGAAAACTCCTTGGTAAGTGATTCAATCCCCGATCGCAAACCACAGAACTCAATGCTTTGACCCTGCCACAGCTGTCGTTAGGTGCAGGAACACCACTCACGCTGTTCTCCGAATCTCCGCTTGAATCTGTGAACAAAGCCTGACCAAATGACGTCGACTGATACGACCGCCGTCTGTGCCGAGTGCCTGGAATGGCGCCTATCTGCCAAGGCTCGCAGATTACATTGACTACCACTACATATTCTCTTCTTGATGAGTCTCAGTTAATTCCCTGAAAAGTACCGGACTGTAAATTCAAATGTTGTGGCCGACTCAGCCGTTTCCCAATGCCGAGCCAGTGGTAGGGAAAAGGTACATCCCTTCCACGATGTGTCGCAACAGCCGAGAGGTAGTTCGCCGAAGGAGCGCTGGCATGAGGATATTGGGTATGCTTGACAAACGACCGAGAACACAAATTATGAATTTACAGTGTCCGTTTCCAGTATTTCTGATCTAAGTATCCAAGTCAGTGGTGTACGTGTTTGGTGCTGGGGAAGAAACCCAGAACGGCCACAGGTGTTTCTGTATTGTTTTCAGATCCTCGTCTGCGAGGACAAAATAATGAAAGATGCAAGGCGGCAAAAAAGATCAAGTCAAACTCAATTACCTAAGCCCGAATTGAACAGGGACCTCCTGCCACAGTTAAACTGTTCTAAATAATTGAGCAGGTGCACACCATATGCTATCAGATGTTGCTGCATTATCTTGAGCTCTTGATATGCCAGGGCAAGATAATGAATACACAACGTTGGGGGAAATATGTATGCATGGAAAACACACCTGACCCCGAGTGGAAAGGCGAACAATTGTAATAAGTGGTGGGCAAGCGACGGGTACAAACGGGATTGAAGGCTGGAAGGTGTTGCCCGCAGCAAGGAGTAAAAAAAAAATGGGACTCAGAGCACCAATCATGGAAACACTGTTACCGGAGACCTACCGGCATTGTGCGTGTCTATGCTTCGGGATGGTAGAGCCAAATAAAAAGCTCCGCCTGAAGCTCGAAACACTTGTCGCCCTCCAGCTCGAGTTCCTTGCGACTCAAGTTCATGCTTCAGGGTTCAATCCAAGCTCAATGTGGTTGTGTACAAATTCATACAAGGACTACTCAAGATGGTCGCTCGGAGCTATGGAGGATGGGAATGAGCTCAAGTTTGCCTTGCTACAAATTCTTCGTTGGGTCCAACATTATTGTGTGTTCAATGAATTGCTCTGGACACAGGTTGAATACTGGGAGATGTCTTCTGACTTTGTTTCTCTGACCAAGTTGCTGAATGTCTCCGAAAAAAAAAGTCGAATGAATCGGTTCCCCAACATCACCCGACCCCGAATCGAACGAGGACCTCCTGCTTCAACTCTCAATGCCCATTCAATAGAAGCAGGTGCACACCATGTGCTATCAGGTGTTTCTACATGCATATCCAAGACTCTTAGACCGAGTGTTTAGAGATTGCTGCATTCGATCTGAATTGCTCTGAGTGTGAGGCGCTGTAGTCTCTCCTACAGCAACACGGGCACTTGTGCCTCGTTGTGTTGTAGAGGCGCTCGGGGTTCATTGTAGGCAGATGTCTCCGAGATGGAAATAAAAGTCAAAACCATTTATCGAGCACCTTCACCACCACCTGACCCCGAATCGAACAAGAACCTCCTGCTTTAACTCAATCACTGCCACATAGTTTGAGTAGGTGCACACCATGTGCTATCAGGTGTTTCTGTATAATTTCCGGGCCTTGATATGCTCTAACATTTACCTGTGGTGGAACTTGTGAGGTTTGGAAGAAACGGAAAAAATTCAACCAGATCTTGGGATAAATAATCTCACGATGCGGGACGATCCGAATTTCATACCGCACTGCCTGTGAGGTGAATGTGTGAAGGAGGAAATACTTACTCACGACGGGGCCGCAAGGGTGCTGCCGCGGCGTGCTCGTGGAAGAATTATACAAGTTAGATTCGTTGATTTGGGGTTCAACTAACAAAGGTTGACCGGCTGGTTCAAGTTGGATTTTATTAAACCACCCTCCACCAATTTCCCCTGCGTGCCATTTATCCAGAAGTATCCTATGTGTTCCCCCCGGCAAAGAACACCCCGACCAAAATTGAACTATTGCCGACTCGCGGCATATGTGCCTCAAGGCAACGACTCAAAATTAGGACGCACGCGGCCCTTGGGATTTTCACATCGCGTCCTTAAGTATCGTTACGCGGGTGCAACCGCATATGTATTACTGGCAGGCTTAGCTGCTACCTCCCGCCTGAATTTAAATAAATAGACAAAGAGGCTATTCCTGATGCCATATCCGCGAACGTGGCTGACAGGACAGGTTCACTTCCCCTTCCATCTACCTTACTGCAACCAGCTCGAGAGAAGACACCTGAGCTGAAATCGAACTTACGTGTCGGCAGTGAACCGAACCGGTTCGCGATCAGCGGGGATTATGCTGCGGTGGGCGAGCGTGGGCGAGGGAAGGATCGATCAGCGCCGGCGTCTCGGGACACAATAGCGTGCGAGTGTGCTCCCTTTCCTGGCCTCTACCCTTCGTTCGACGGCTCAGCTCGTTCTGGATCTGGACATACCCACTGGGAGACGGTACGGCGCACTTACGCGTCCAGCAGCCGCTGCATACACCACACACACGCAAGAACGAGTGAAGGCTGAGGATGCCGCCGATCCGCGAGCACGCGAGGATTCTGTACACGTTCCTCGCGGATGAAGACGCGGGGCTCGACGCGCACGACGACGACGACGAGGAGGATGAGGAGGGTGCGTGTTACCGCGCGCTGAGGGAGGATAATGTGCTAACTGATATACTTTCTTTTCTTATACTTTCCTTTGTCTCGGCCCTCCCTTTCCTTCCGTCACATACCGCTCCTGGTGCTGCTACATAAATGCACGCGGCTTTGGGGATTCCCGTTTCGTTGTCTTTCGTGGACTTGGACTGGGTCGGCTGGCTGGCCTCGACACGCTTTCACGCTCTACCCTGCTCTACTTGTGACTGGACTGGCTGGCGGACGCGCAGACACAGACATGCCCGCCCTCGTCGACAACCCCTTCGCCCTGCCGCTCGAGGACGCGCCCTCGGGCCCGCCACAGCAGACACACGCCCAGACGCAAGAAAGCATGATGTCCTCGCTCGACTTCTCCGACATCTCCTTCCCCTCTGCACCCTTCGCCTTCTCATTCCCCTCCTCCTCCTCCTCCGAAGCAACTACCACTACTACCATAACGGGGCCAACCGGGCGCGGTAGACGCGCAGCTGCACGCCCGCCGTCGTACATCCCCCGCCCGCCCAACGCCTTCATCCTCTTCCGCTCGTCCTTTATCCGGAGCCAGAACGTCCCCGGGCGCGTCGAGGGGAACCATAGTACGCTCAGCAAGATCATCGGTACGTTCCCTTACGTCCCTGCCTCCCCATCCTCTATACATCCTTCCTGCGCGTCGCGCCGCGAATTTGCCTCCGCGGGACCTTTTCGCTCGATCGATCGATCACTCCCATTTTGTCTGTCACCTCCCTCCTCCTCCTCCTCCTCCTCCTCATCCACTCTTTCTTTTTTCGTCTTTCTTTTTTCTTTTCGTGCATGCATACGGCACCACCGCCTCACCTTTAACTTAATCTCCTCTGCACCCGCTCCCCGCGCGCGTATCTGAATCTGATCATAACAAATGTACAGGCAAGCTCTGGCACGCCCTCCCCCCGCCGGAACGCGCGCGCTGGGAGGAGCGCGCGCGCCTCGCGCAGGCGGAGCATCGACGACGGTACCCCGATTGGCGGTTTAGACCCGGGAACGGGATGGTATGTTCCTCTGCCCTGCTCTTGTCTTCTGCTTCCTCCTCCTCCTGCTCTTGCCTTCTTCACTGCACCGTTCTTCCCTCCTCCGCTTTTATTTCGTTTCCTTTTTATTCTACTTTGCCTATCTCGCCTCCGACCGTGTGCGCTTTCATTTCATTTCGTTCCGATTCCATTCCGATTGCGCGTTAGGCGGGGGGAGACGCCGCGCGCCCACAGCTCACAGCCCGAGATCCGCCGCAAACGCTAAGCGGTGGGGTGGCGTCATGGCCTTGTGGCGTCGCGTGGCGTTGTGGGCGCGAGCTGGCTCGCTCGTCTCGCTTGGTGCCTGGCGCTGTGTGCTGTGTTGGCGTCTGCTGGCACTGCGGGTACCTATGGAATTCCTTTCCTTTTCAAGACGGGCGCGTCTGCGTCGTCTTCAATGGCCCTGTATCCTCGGGCACCTCACCCCCGCCCTTGCTTTTGGCTTTCACATTTCATTACTTCTTCTGGCGCTGTCGTCTCGTCCGATGAGCCCCATCTCTCTTTCTTTTTTTTTCATCTTTTCTTTCTGTTCCTTCACCTTAGTCGACTGTCTGTCGAGGCGGGGACTGAGGACAGCCTGGCGCTGTCCGCTTTTAACCCCTTCTTTATTATTTTATTTCTGTTTCTTTTGCGCCGATGGGGCGCCGATGACTTGTTGGCGGGCGCGGGCGATGCGGTGGTTGGGATGGACGCACCCGGCCCTCTGTGCTCCTCCTTGGGACCCTTTCTCCGTCCAATTGGAGGAACCTCACGCTTTCTTTATTATTTTATTTTATTTCTTGGCGCCGATGGGGCAAGGACGACTTCACGACGGGCGCGGGCGACGCGATAGCAGGGATGGCCGCACCCGGCTCTCTGTGCTCCGCCTCGGGACCCTTTCGTCCGCTTGGGCGAGTCTGAATCGCGATCACGCCTTCTTTTTTTCCCTTTTTTTCTTCGGTCTCCTTTGGTGCGGGTGGAGCGACTCCTTGCTGGCGGGCGCGGGCCACGCGAGGGCATGGATGGATGCGCGCGGAACATCCTGTTCACGTATCTGCTCTCTGTTCGTTGCGGATGCCCCCCCTGAGCTCGTTTTGATGGCGCTTGGCTCTTTTCCCGTTCTTTGTTCCATCGACTGGCCTGCTTGGTCGATGGGGAGGATGTGTACGTGGAGTCCTTTGACGCATCTGTGAACGACACCAAGGACCGGATGGGGTCCGCCTGCAAGTTTCTCGTATCCATTCTTTTTCGTTCTTCCTTTGCTGGGTCGAGGACCCGTACTCACCCTCGACTACTCATTCTTTCATATTCGGCTGTGGCTGGGTCGAGCCAGACGCGGGCCCAGAGCCTCCTTTAACGAACCAGGCATCTTTGTTTTTCATTTACTCCTAACCGGCCAATCTTTTTACCTGCCTGCTTCATATATTACTCGATATCCTTCCCACCTCGCTAACCCTCCTCCTCCTCTCTCTCGCTCTCTCCTCGTCCTCTGTGCAACGCTCACACATCCCTCCGCAGAACGCCTTCGTCAGCGGCGCCAATGGGCCAGTCGCAAGCGGGAGCAGTCCCCGGCGGCGCAAGGGCCGCATTAAGGACGGCGGTGGGGGTGCAGGCGCGGGGGACGATTCTGGTCCTGCTGCGTCGACGAGCAGCACGCCCACGCCCGCGCCCGCGTTCAAATCGCAATCGAATTTCGAGTACGACAACAAGGATAACGACGGGGAGGAGCGGGGGCGGAGCGCGAAGGGCAAGGGGAAGGGCAAGAGCAAGGCGGTGAGCGTGGATGCGCGGGGCAAGGGGAAGGGCCGGGCGCGCGAGGAGGATGGGGATGGGGAGGGCGGTGCGGACAGGAAGGGGAGGGGCAAAGGAAGGGCGCGCGCCAATACGCATACGGTCGCGTCCTCATCATCATCAGCGTCCTTCGTGGCCACCTCCAACGCGCCCTTCACCTCCTTCACTACCAGCGTTTCCAGTACCCTCGCCGACCACGACACGCGCGCGCGCTGCTGCCGATACTCAGACCGACGAGGAGCACCAGGCGAAGGTGCTCGCAATGGAGCGCGCGCGCGCGGAGGAGAAGGAGCGGGACAGGCGCGCGACGGAGGCGCGCACGGCAAAGATCACGGAGCTGCTTGTCGAGGGGAAGACGGGCCGGGCGCTCGAGCGCGCGGTGGAGGAGTGGGAGCGCGAACGGGCGAGCGGGGGTAGCAGTGGAAGTGGGGCAGCCGCAGAAGAGTCTGGACGCGGCACGACGTCTCACGGGGACCGAGAGGCGTCGCGGGGGAGGGTGCGCGCGCCGGCGGGGAGGAGGGGCCGGGAGCGCGAGCGGGACAGAAGGGAGCGGAGAGAGGTGGATTTGTCGGCTGATGGGGCAGAGCGGAGGCAGCCGTTCCCCCCGCTGCAGTCACCCTTTGGGTCCCCGACGCGCTCGCCATTCACGAGTCAGCCCCCGCCGCCGTCGTCGCCGTTTGACTTTGAATTTGGCTCCCCCGGGCAATCACCGTTCGCGCAGCAGCAGGGGCCGTCCTCGCCCTTCGCTCAGCAGCAAGGACAGCAGCACTCGCCCTTTGCCTCTCCCGAGCAATCGCCGTTCACACAGCCGCCGCCGGGGTCGT